CTCACTCACACAGAGAGACACTGAGAGACTGGCAAAATTCTGAGATTTTCTCTACATTCAAACAAACATATCTGACTTTCTGTGGGTCCTAGCTAATGAGTGTCAATTAGAAAGTTGTCCGGCTCGAGGAGTACAATATACATACCGATTTTTGTAACTGTAGATAAAACTAACAACCCCACTTTTGTCAAAAGGTGGCGCTACTGAGCCCTCACCACGCCCGTTTCTGAAACTTTGCACGTGTCTACTGGCTAATAAATGTGATGTGTCTGTCGAGTTGCATGCAATTTCAAGCATGCTAAGGGTCTCAAAAGCATCCTAAAAGAATGGTAACGTTTGATGCGTCACCACGGCAACAGTTTCAAAGATATCAAGAATCCATTCACAGGTCTACATCTGCCGTATGTTTACATTATACAGATGACGTTTGAAGCAAATCGGGTAAAAATAAAAGGGTGATATCAAAGCATTTTGAAAGTGACACAGTTCCTGCTGCCAGTTGGTGGCGCTATAACTTTGACTCACAATAGTCACATCCATGTGATCGTCCTCTTACAGCGAACACACTGCTGAAGTTTCATCAAGATCAGTTAATGTATGCTGAAGTTATAACACACTTCCTGGTTCACGTTTCTCGTCATGATTTCGTTTCCTCGCCACGGCCCAACCGTTCGAGATATCAAAAATCCCCTCGCAAACTTTCATCCTCAGTGTCTTGACTTCATGCTGACCGAGTTTTGTCGAATTTGGATCAAAGCTCTAGGAGGAGTATTTAACATTCCATTGCGAGCATTTTACAAACAAACCTCAATAGCCGACTTCCTGTTGGGCTGGGGTAAAAAGTAAAAGCGCGAGGTATAGATGAAACTATGAGATCAACATGTGCACCGAGTTTCATATTATTATATACAAACGTGTTTGAGTTATGGACCAAGTGTTCGGACCCCGTTCCAGGGGGCGCTGACGAGCCGCCCTGCCACGCCCGGGTACCAGCTTCAGCCCGGCTCTGATGGCCGCGGGTTCTGACCCATGTGCAAAGTTTCAAGAGTTTTCGAGCACGTTAAGGGCCCCAAAAATGCCCAAAAGGTTACAAAATAATAATAATAAATAATCCTTAGGAAAACAATAGGGCCTTCGCCCTTTCAGGGCTTGGGCCCTAATAATAATAATAATCCTAAGGAAAACAATAGGGCCTTCGCCCTTTCAGGGCTTGGGCCCTAATAACAGCAAAAATCTGAGACCATATTGAAAATATTAATTTAAACAAATCATTTAAGAATTTCTTTTTGCCAGATTTCTAAATTATGCCAATAATATAATTTGTAATGAACACATCTGGAGGATTAGAAAAATGTATACAGTACATTTCCATTACTCTTAAAATTTTTAATAACTTCCAGAACTTTTTTCAGGTCTAGAATTTAACTATATAATATTTGTTATCAATCTTTCCAAAATTTGATCTATCTTTGCATTTTACTTTCGGGTCCAGCAGCTGACTCCCTCGCATTAAGTTTAATTTCAGGGAATGATGGGATGATATCTCAAGCAATCAATTACCAAGTGATTCATCATGACATCCACCGTCATGGAAAAACAAATCATAGCTGTTGGATTTATCTTGACCTCCCTTGGCATCCTCCCACAACCTGGTTTGCCACATCATCAGATAGATTACACCTGCCAAGATCAACCGTTGGCACCATACGACACAGATCTGACAGATCTGACTGAGAGCCGTGATGTAAACGTGGTTTGTAGTCTGCAGGGTTAAGGAAATAAATTGATGGCAAATGTCTGCTGTCAGAACTCACTGTGCAGAGGGAAAGAGTAACTCTTCTGTCAACAAGACCATTGTCTTGTTGTAAGTTGTAAGACGTTATTTATTAGGTAAGGTCTTGATAACAGAGTGCAATATTTTAGTAATAATTCCAACTGATTCTGAATCGTTCATGCAGAAGTGCAGTTAGCATAAGTCAAAGTCTTGGAATGCGGTTCTGAAAAGGTTACTGTGATGAATGCTATGAGCTATGAGACTGAGACAATGGATACTTATATGAGGCATTTAAAAGTACGAACAGCGAACCACTCGAGCAAATATGTATATAGCCAAATAAAGCCAATTGCCTTTAAGATATCATTTTTCTTTTCTCTAGAAAGTGCAAATGCACTAGTTGGATCAATGTAATGTAGCATGATTTGAGCATTTCCACCAAGCTAAAAATCGAATACCACTTTAGTGTTAATATTTAAATGTTCTAGCATCTTGCTAAATTCCTTTCATTTTTATTATTTCATTAAAGTTAAGAAATAAACATTTTAGCTTGTTGCGAACGCAAGACGCTAATGATCAAATCAAGCTAGAAATGTATAATACATTTTATTTAGGTATACACAAACATAAACACACATTTATACATATAGCATGAGTTGAGCATTAGCATTTAGCTAAAATCTAAAAAAAAACTTCAGTGTTAACGTTTTCTACTAGCTAAACCTCTTTCATTTGTATTATTTCTTAACATTTAGGTTTATATAATACAAACATCTGTCAATGCGTACAGATAGTATGCAAATTAGAATGCGAGTAGGTAGGTGAGAGCGAGTGCAAAGTTTCAGCTTTTCCCTTTGAAACTCAATAGAGCTAAACGATACTGCTGAATACAGCAACAGGCACATAATGCGTCAATATACTACTCACAATAATGACTGTAAAATGAGTTTTGCGGTTATGGTCGAACAGCCACAGAAAAAATAATCTAATTTTGGCTATGCTACCAGAGGGCAGGGAGAGGTGAAGGTCATGTTTCACACTGATTTCTAAAGAAGCTTGTAAAATGTGTCCCACTACACCATGGCTATTTGAGAAAATGTCAGGGCTCAGCCAGTCCTCAGGCACAAGCTGTTGGAAATCTCTTAAATGCATTATTTAACCCTTAAGGGCAGAGATAGCCAGTTTAAACCAGACAGACAGACAAATCTGTCAGCAAACTGAGATAAAATATGCTATTTAGAAATAGCTAGATCTCTCCAGAATTATACAAGAGCTAAAAAGACAATTCTACAAATATAAATGCTATCTTACAACACTTTGGCTATTGTAACTACAGTGACATTTACACAAAGAAGCTGCATCAAGCCCAAAGCAGGTGGCTGACTGTGAGGTGGCGATAACCCCAGCTTTGCCCACTCCAAATATTTAAACCAAGCTCTTTTAAAATGGCTAAGTTTAGCTTACTAGCCTTGTTGCCTTGGAGTGCTATTTTTATTTTATTTTTTATTTTTAGGAGTGTTTATATATGGCTAAGGCAACTGCCAAGCTCTTTCAGTCTTTGGAAGCTTCCAGAAGGCCTAGCCAACCACCTAGCATACAAGCTTTGAAAACGTACCACTTGCTGAGTAAAGGGGACAAACTGCCATTTGACTTAATAAAACTTGGCTTAATAGTAAAAGTCATATATTTATGGATTTAGGCAGAGCACATTTGTGTTTGTGGAATGCTAACTTGTTAGTTAGGATACTGAGGCAACATACAGAATTGTTAAATCACAATAGCGACGGGAATTAGCTTGAAAGACTTAAAAATTGCTCTGCTAAGCTTAATAGCTGGCTTGTCAGACTTAACGCTGAGCAAAATTTCTTCCATCTCATTGTTTGCACAGCTCAAAATGTCACCAGACTCAGAAGCATTGGGCGTAATTACCAAACTCAAAAAGACAAATCACTAAATAATATCAAGAGCGAGGCAAGGAAAGGCCGTGTGTCCATCAGGGACTAAAGGCTGCAATTTCAAAATCGATTCACAACCACGAAAGACAATCGGCTAGCCTCTGACGTCAGGCCTTGAGAATAATAGCCTCATCTCCACTTGATAAATGTGTCAGCACTAGAAGCACGGCAGGGAAACAATGATGAAGCTCCCTCTCAGCCAGCAGAACACTATGAAAGAGACGCTAATGATTGTTGAGGTATAACAGACGCATACGGTCCACTCAAGTCTTGAATAATTTAACTTTAACAAAAGCTCTGTCTGTTGTGGAAGAAAAAAATAAAAATGATGATTCCAGCCAGGGATATATCACTTTAACACTGAGGTCAGAGAATAGCCAGAATCTCTATTTGGACCTTCAAAACGAACTAGAAATTTCGCCAGATACAGCCAGTATTTTGCTCAAGATAAGACTGGACTTACTACATCTGTTCTCTGGTGAAAACACATCTTTCTAAATGTGTCGTCTCCTCAGATCTGCAAGACCCAAGCTGACAAAAGTGGGGTGCTAACATGTTTACTTATAAATGGGATATTGGTCAGTGCTAGTAAAAAGTATGTAAATGTCTACTGTGATGTGCTGTTCTGACAGTAACTCAACCCTAGTGTTGACAGTAACACAATAGTGTAAAAAAGCAGTAACTAACTAAAGGAGTAGTTCACCCCAAACTCACCCACTAATGTCTTTCCAATCTAGTACAACTTTTAGAAAGCCATTAAGAAATGTAACAACATGAGCATGAGTGATGAGCAAAAGAAGACAATTTTGTTTTTTTAGATTAACTAATCTTTTAAGGACACCAAAGAGTTTGTATTTCTGGACATTGTGGGGATTTAACCATGGTAGTTTGTCCTGCACATACCAACCCTGGACATCCTGTGCCCAGTGATAAAAAACTAATACAAGAGCAATCTTTCTTTTAGTCAGAATGTGAGTGAGCCAAGAAGGGATCTGGCTGCTGTACTTGCAGGTTTCCACAGCAGTAGATAAGAAAGGCAGCACAGAGCAGCTAAGTGCACTCTCATCAGAATTAGCCCCAAGCATTAATAAGAGAAAAGGCAGATAAGCAGAACTGCATAAAATAGGTTTAAATCAAGTATTTTGTGGCCAAATTTCCAATAGCTCTCCATTTAGACCAGGGCTTTTACTGTATTCAAAAAGCAAACACAGCCACAATAGTTTGAAAACTACGCAGTAGTTTTGGACAAACCAACACACACATAGGCTTACCATCATCAGTTCCTTCTGAAAAGATTTCTTCTCTTTGGTCTCCATGTTGAGGCAATCTTCCTTTAGTTTCTCCAGCACTGAGGCAACCCTCTCTGGTTCACTATCCAGATCTGCTCTGCAAAAATACGTCAAAGGAAGATTCACGTAGCCCAGAGCATCAGCAAATGCTCGCCAGTTTCCCAGATTTTCCATAAGTATTGTCCTCACAGAGGCATAAATGTAAGTTAGAAACTTGCAGGGCTTCAGGATTTGTTCCATCAGCATTGTGGTTGTTAGGTCTGGCCCACAAAAGTATATAGGCTTGACCTTTCCCAAGACAAGCACATTTTTTACATGTACAAGCCCAATCTTTCCCTGATAGTATCCAATGTACCACTCTTTGGTCCATAGTTGTCCTTTGAGTTTGATCTTCTCCTCGCTGAGTAGGGCGATAATATCCCCTTTTTTATATTCCAGCAAGTACTGATTCTTGGTCTGCCTGATAACAGTTTTGATCAGTTTGCCAAATTTCAAGTTGGTAATGCAGCGCTCTTGAAACTGTGGGTATTTGGTGGTGATGGCCAGAGGAGACAAAATAATTTTATCAACTTCCTTTTTCTTTAGGAACCGCCTCTGGCCGCTGTTCCGTACCCCAGTTTTAGGGGGCGGCTGTGGTGTTTGAACGCAAAATTGTGCAAGGATGCAATCCTGATCATCTTTTACCTGGACACGTAACGTGAAGTCGGAAATCTCATCAGCGTTCCGAGACGTAATCATGTAGATGAGCCGGCTCACCTTGCCTAGTTTGATCTGAAACCCGCGAACAACCCTAGCCTGATCATTTGCCTTGACATCATAATTTGACATGTTAGAGTACATACCTATCAGCAAGTCCTGAGGCCTGCCAAGGACAAACTGGTGCTTTCCCCACAGTTGTAGTGAAACCGGAGGGGCAGACTTTGCTTGCTTCCCAACCTCACTGACAAGTAGAGTCTTGGGAGCGCAGTCATGGCCAAAAATGGCCACCACAGTCTTAAAAGATGGATGAATGTGTTTCGGCCCGTAGAGGCCCAATGTCACTTTCTTCACCATATGATCCCAAACAGATGAATTGAAGGAAACATGTTGGGTCTGGACAACAACGGCTACATACATGCAGGGCTCCAAGTTGTCCAGCTGAACCTGAATCGTATCACCATAAATGTATGCTTGTGGAACAGGAGAATATGGACCCTCTTTACAGTCACTTCTGACACACAAAACCTCAGCCATTGGACTTTCTGTCCTAGCCGTGACGGATACCTTCATCTCTAAGGTAATGAATGACTTTATCTCCATGTTACTCAGTTTGATTTCAACCACTGGACTGACAGTCGAGCATCTGTCATTGTTCAGCTCCAAAGGAGGATCCAGTAGAGCCTTCATAGAGATTTGCTGAGTGTCTCCCACTACAACATGGCCTTCGGGAACATGAATACTGATATGCGTATCTGGGAGCTGGACTGCCCCTCCAAAGCTGTCCAACTTGCAGACAATGTTAGTCTCTACTGGTTGCGTTTGACCCCAGCCTGGGTTCTGCCCAAGGGACTCAAGGTCATGGCAAGAGCGTGCCAACTTTCGATGGTTTAGCCAGGCTGTCCTAAAGTCCTCTCTGTTCTGAAACTGCTCCGGTGAGGGTGCTTTAAGTCCTGTAAAAAACCCTGATGAAGGCAATGGAGGATTTGACTGAGCTTGTAAGATTGATAACTCTGATAAACTGTAAGATCTTTTGCTTCGAAAAAAGGGATTGTCCTTGCGAAGCATCTGCGAGGCTTCAAGATCAGCGCTGGTGGATGTCCCATCAAAAACACTATTGCTGTACCCTTTTGTGTTGCTGTTGGTGGAGATGGGGTCTGAAGGCAAGTCAAAGAAAAGCAAATCCATGCTGTTGCATGGGTTAGTCTTCTCATTACTGTTCTGATCGAGGACATCATCCATGGACCCATTTAGGAATGGGTTGGTTGAGGAGAGCATGGAGAAGGGGTTGTTGTTGTCATAAGGCATGGGGGGCTTCAGCGACATTCCAGTCCACTCCCCCAGCAGGTCCAGCTCTTTTGCTCCCTCCTCCGAGCAGTCCCCAATATTGTCAATCATCCCACTGTCACTTAGAGATGAGTTCCTGTAGTTGATCGGTTGGACATACGTCGAAGGAATGTATCCCATTTCTCGGTTGTTGTGGGCGTACCACCATTCCCCACCAGATGTGTCCAACACATAGAGATGTTCGCCTTTGGAGAACTTTAGAGTGGTAAAACTGGATGGACAGTAATCCTTTATGGCGACCACTTCCCGGGCAGTCCCAAATGACGTTGAGGGGGCCAAACGCAAGGCACTGGGTGAAGGCACTGTAAAGATAAACATATTAATAATTACTGATTTGCGATGTACATGGCACAACCATACTAGATGTCCATTTTATTTATTTGCAGTGCAATAAACTGACCTTTGACATCTATGAGACTCGCCTCAGTCAGTCCCTCATCAAGGTCAATAAGAGTGCCCTCTGATTTACATCTAGGGAGCACATTGTTGTTGTTGGTTACTCTGATCCTGTGGGCGGCCATCTTGCATTGGTTAAGCTATTTTACCATTGCTCCAATACTGACAATCACACACTGGCAGTTTTTAATTTTTTTCCTGCTGGGAAAACAAAAACGACAGGGAAAATCTTGATTAGCTTTGTGTGTCAGGACAAACGCTTGATGCACTGAGAATAATGAGACATACTGCAATCAGATTATTGGATCATAAAACTCTTCTGAGAGATTGTACCCAGAGATTAGTGTGGTATAGCTAAAGGGACAAACTGGGACTAGATGTAACTCAAAATGTACTGCAGGAGATAAAAGATCTTTAAAGTTGATTACTTTAATCTCTCTTGGAAGAGGCTAATGCATTGTTGTCTAGTTTGTAGATAAAAACTTGAGTCAGAAAAAGATCCTGATAGAATCTCAATATTTTGAATGCTCTTCATGGTTAAAGGTCACATCGTTTTTAATGCTCTTCATGGTTTAATGTCACATCATGGTTTAACTGATGGAATATCTATTGCAAAGGGATGACAAAGAAGGAGATGAACAATCAATAAAACACCCATTACAAGGTGCTGCCACCTCCAGATATGACAATATATGTTTAATCTTTGACCTTCATTTGAACATTTTTTGAAAATGTCTTAGTGATGAACATTCCTGGTATTATTGTGTACGTTACCCCAAACAACATAAAAAAATATCGTCTTTTATTCAAATTTAATGCCTTGCTGCATTTCAGAGAGAACATTTTCAGCTAATGAAACTAATCCCGCTTTTACTGGGGTTTTTTTTTTTCATCTTGAATATTATTTTTCATTTGTGAATATGAAGCAAATGACATAAAAATACATTTCAGAAAAATATAGCCTACTATAATTTATTTCAGCATAAAAGGCACTTATTGTCGCTTTTAAAGATCCATAAGGCTTTATGGAACAACAACATTATTGCACATTTACCACACAATAACAATGTAATAAAATCCCTTAAAGATATTACATTGACAACATCAATAAACAACAACAATGTAAAATGTACTAATTTAGAGACCTGATATCTGGATGAAACAGTCTTTTATCACTGGTAGAGCGTTTGATTTGCCAGGTTCAGAAAGAAAGATATCAAAGCATATCAAAGGACACCTTGAACTAAAAATCACATGCATATGGTGCAGCAGGGGTTCCATCAATTAAACAAACTAAAACACCGCTGGGTGATGAAACTGAATAAATACCATCCTAAAAGTGAATGCATTACCTTTTGTGTCAGCATGGTACTTTTTGCTAACTCCCATAATAGTGCTGTATAAAATGATCATTATTTGCAGTTTGTCGTGGATTAGAGCCTGTTATGATTTATGCTCTCTTAAGATGAGCAAAAGTTTGGCTTTGGGGGTAGAGGAAACAGACCCAATTTCCATGCATGATTGCCTCAACTTCTGTCTGAGATGATGAGCGCTATTAATCTGCTCTTGACGTGACAGACATGCAAAACAACACACAGATGTAAAACAAGCTATAATTAGTTGGACTAAATAATCACAGAAGCATGAAAAGAATATCAAACAAGACCAAAGGGCCAAGTAACTGCACTCCAAGTAGCTGATAATAAAGTCATTTCTACACAAAAGTTAACCTCAGAAAGCAATAGCCTAAATGAGGTTGAAATGACAACTACTTCTACTTATATGAATGCACAATTTTGTGGTGAAAAATGCTTTAGAAATACTTTCAAAAGGCTCTTTGGAAGAAAATCCAATCCATGAAGGCCATGGAAGGAACTTTCATGTCTGTTACTTAAAAGCTTGATGATCCCTTCAAAAGAAGGAAAGCATCTCTGGCATGAATGTTTTAAAAGTCTTTCACACAAAAGACCCGTGGAAAGATTCAAACCCTTTTAAACGTCCATTTCTTTTTATCATAAGATGCTGAAGTAGACTTGTCTTTCTTCAGTCCAACCCTCAAGAAATCTCCCCCATGCTTTTATTTCATTCATAATTCAGGCCATCAGAAGTTGATGGAGAAGCGCATTCCTCGATGACATGAAATTGTAAAAAAATGATGGCACTGACCTCCACCAACTCTCTCAGGGCTGGAGAAGTGCTTCAAGGTCTATGGTTCTTCCAATACTAGGAGCACCAACAAATAAAGTTGATTAGAAACCTAGTGAACTGACAAGGATGTAATCATGGTTGCTGATAACAGCACCTGGGGCACTTCAATGACTGAAGACTAGTGTCTACTTCCTATAATCCCTCTATCTTCCAACCGTCCCATGTCTATTTTCGCAGACTTTGGTGATAAAACTAGCCTATTTAGTCACTGATCTGACAATTTCAGACTCAAATTGCTATTATGAATTACGGTCTAAGGGTACAGTCACACTTAACTATAGTTTGGTGCAATTTCGTGGGCAATATCCAGACATTTATGTAGGAATCCACACAACCAGGAGTTTCACAAGGATGGGGGCGACAAACTTCCGTAGATTACTCTTATGTAAAAATTGGTCTTAAGAAATTGAGTTTGAAAGTGACTTTTTTTGTGAGAAGTGCTTCATACATTACTACACTTTTTTGTAGGGATAATTTCAGCCGCCAAAAATGATCGAAAGTTGCAGTTTTGGTTTTTGGTCGAAAGTTAATAGTTCCATTAAGACCGTGTGTCCACCAAAGCGTTTTTATCCAGCTGAAAACGCTAGACGCTCTGCTGAAGACGCCGTGCTTTAGGGCGCTTGAGAGCGTTTTGGCAGCGCAGCGTTTTTTCCGTTGAGAAGTTTTGTTGATATGATACAGAATATCCGCTGCAGTTGAATGTTGTGACAGTTGGTCGGTGTGGTATTAGTCCCGCCCCTCCTCCACTGTGATTGGATGGCTGGATAAAAAGTGACAGTGATGACGAGCGCTGCGTTTTATCCAAAGTTGAACATTTTTCAACTCCCAGCGACCAGTAAAAAACGCTGGCCGCTCGGCGCTTCAGCGTGAAAAAAACGCTCAACGCCTCGGTACGCTCATGCCGTTTAAAAAACGCGGGGCTCCCATTGACAACAATTGAAAACATACGCCAGGAGCGTGGAAAAACGCTTTGGTGGACACACGGCCTAACTCTTAAAAACATGCTAATTTTTCTGCCAACGTGGATGGAATGGTGCCGTGCAATACAAAACAACACTCAATACTTCCTCAAAAGTACTAGAAGAACCATTAATGGAACTGAAATCGAAAAACTAAATCTTGCAATTCCCCAGTAGTCGCAACCCCATAACATTCAGCCACAGAGACATTTGTACCCATCCGCCTACAACATGAAACACTTGTAAACCACGACTCTCGGGTGTCCCATAAGACAAGAGAACAATTATCTCAGATGCAGCACGTAACTCACTGAAGATGTGTCGAAAGCACTTCAAGATGGAGGCCAGGGAATTAAGATGCTCTTAGATACATTGTTAGCTCTACAGAAACCTCATGGGTTTAAATTCAAGCACTCCTTAATTATCGCCCTTCAGATAGCTTCATATTGATAAAACAGTGTTGATTTATTCAAATAGAGCGGCATTATCTTTCCACCTCGCATTAACACACCTGTCATTTCAAATGAATTATTATAATTACATTTCCAAAACGTGGCGTTGGGGCAGTAACTGAGATAACATGGCACATTACAGTCTGCGGTAATTAAATTTTATAATTTTTTTTCTATTGATGATAGGGAGGAATTTCATATTACGTTGAGCTAATTGGGTGAATATGACCACCTCGTGTTTATGGCAGAGGACAAAGCAATTTCTCACTCCACTGCCCCACCGGTCCATACTTCACCACTGACTCTAAAACAAAAGGTTTACTCAGGTAAAGTGCAGAGGGGTGTGGGTGGAAGATAATATTTCAAAGTGCCCATGAGAGGCTAATTTCAGGAGTCCATTAAATGACAGACTTCATTTATCGTCTCTACGTGAATAGGTCATTCTACCTGACAAGGATCAGCTAAGCTAACGCAAATGAGTCTGACATTACAAGCCTCTTTATCAAACATATTCCTCAGTACAAACTGGATCATTCTGAGATCTAGGGACTAACAACAGGCCACTACTTATTTTGCAAAGTTTACACACTCACACATATATAAATATTTCATAAAATGTTTTAGAACATCATAGAGTCATTGTGCTGAAGCGTGTGCACTAATTTTATTTCTGGCGTACCAAAAAGTCAAAGGAGAACACATCACATTGTTGTTCAATTACACTCAGAATTGTATTTGCATACATGAATACACAAAAAGAAAGAATTCACGTGTGTTCCCAAATGTATCCCTCCAAAGAGAGAAGAAAACGATGCCAAGCTTCATTCCTGTTGGGAGGTCTGGATTAGCAGAGGCTTAAACAAAGTCCTCTGTAAATGAACTGTGTTGTTTCGCATCAGGTCGGGCCGTCTCTCGAGAAACGCTCTACATATCAATGAAGACTTTTCAGAGCATTCCTCACCCCTGTCCATCTTCATAAACACCACCACACACTTTGAAGGACACATAAACCTCAGTGCATTCACCATAAGCCAGTGCAGATTTACCTCAGGACGGAGGCACGCCGACTGACAACAAGAGTACAGTGGCATTTAGGGGATTACAAGGACTGAATTTGTGCTGAGTCTCCATTAATTATGAAACACAATGCAACACTACTGTGCTTGTGGGAAACTGATGACAATTGGGCTTTTTAAGGTTTGTTCTATTCCTGAGGGATTCGCGAGGTATAGATCGCAATGCTGCAGAAGTCATGCTTTCAGCCACTAAGAATCTGATTCAGGAGATTTGCTAATTGTTATTGCACTGCTGTCAGTAGCTATTTCAACTACCTTTGGTTAAAAATGTAGGTGTGTTCATCATTTGAGTGTCAATGTTAGGACTCTGTATGCTAAATTTCTAGCTAGCTATGCTTCAATATAGTCTGAAATGTCATTAGCATTTATTGTCTTCTTCAGTCAGTTTATCTTTCAGGTCAACTGCTGTCATGGCAGGGTAACAGTTAGAAAAGAAAACAATGAAGAAAGCTAGCCAAAATCCCATTATACATAGCAAGCTTAGCTAACTGATTAAGCTAACGCTA